AGAGAGCTTGGTCTTCGCCAGCTCTTTGAGAGCAACCGTGGTGCTCTCAAGCGACGTGCGATGCTTTATCACTGTCAGCTTGAGCTCAGCCCTCAAGGGATCATCGATGGATTTCCAGAACCCCGTGAGGCGCTGGACGTTTGGCCATTGGGGTCGGGTTCCCTCAGGGTAAGGGACCCACCCCAACACGTCCAGCATCACCATTTCCGGTACAGCCTGTCCTGGTTGTGTGAACCTCAGGCCCATATTGGCCTTCCCTATGTCCTTCACCAGGAGGATCTTCGCCAGGAGGGCCACCGTGAAGCAGGCCTGGAAGGCTTGAAAGGTGCTGAGCTGTGCTGGTATTGGGTGCACCGCCTCCATCTCGATGAGGGTGACCCATTTGGGCTCCTGGTCTGCACCAGGACCTCTTTCGCAGAGCTGGTGAACACCAGCTTGCTTGGCGAGGCCTGGAGTCATGGCCCCCGTGACCTTGCACACCAAGACTTCTTGGTCTTGGGGGTATACCGACAGTTTCCATACTACCCCCGGTTTGTGGGGTGTGAACGTGACCACTCGTGAGCCACCAAGGCCAACTATCACCAGGCTGAGCCTGGTTACCCCTGAGACCTCTGTGCTGAAGTATTCAACTTCGCATGCCTCAGCATAGCGGCTGTGGCATGGTTTCACGTTCTTTTTCATGGAGATGAAGAATTTCATCGTTTGGGCATAGTCCGGATCTGGACCGGTAATGCCTGGCCCCGGGGGGAGCTCACGGTTCCTCCTTGGCTCTTCTGAGCTTCTCCCTTCCGGGGTACCCACCGGAGCTGGTGGGCTTGCCTCCTCAAGGCTTTCAGAGTCTTTCTTCTCCTCCTTTACTGCTGCCTGGTTCACACCAGGTTCGAGGGCCTCACTTTCAGGCTCCGGCTCTTCTTGCTTTGCTGCCTGGTTTTCACCAGGTACGGTGGGTGGGGCCTCTTGCGGGGACCACGCCGGCTCTGTTGGGCTTAGTGCCTCCCCGGCCAGCCTATCCACCTGCCCTGCTGGGCTCTCCTCCTCATCCTGGTCTTCACCAGGTTCGCTCTGTTGCTCCTCCTTGTGCTTGGGCGAGCTGGAGGATGAAGAGGAGCTGGGTTCACCAGCTGGCGCGGTGGTGGTGCGCCCTTGACGTGCCCTGGCCCCTTCCCTGATTGTCTCAAGGAAGCTCGCTGTGGGCTGGGGTGTGGGAGCCACAGGTGGCTCCGACTCTGTACTGTAGTACGAGTACTCAGCGGCTTCCGTCGGGCCTGGCGTAGCCGCTTCCATTGCTGCCGCCGGGCGCTTTCTGGCCGGTGGCGGCTTCGGCGGCACCTGGGTTTTGCCCTCTCCTTTTGCTGGCCCTTTTTCTTTGCCTTTGCCTGGGCCTTTCTCTTTCCCTTTTTCTTTTCCTTTGGCTTTTCCTTTGTCTTTGCCCTTGGAGGGCAGGTTCACACCTGGTGGGGGTGGCACCCCTCTGGTTACCTTTCCTGCCATCCTTTCCTTTTTCCCAGGCCTGTTGCGGTTGTACCACTTCTTGTAGTCCGACAAGGGTTGCCTTGCCGGGGTGTTACCCGGGCGCTCCCAGGAGCTGGAAGGTCTCTCCCAGGAGCTGCTGGGCGCTTCCGCTGGTTGGCCACCAGCTTCTTCAGCTTCCTGGTTTCCACCAGCTTGCTCATCCTGGTTTTCACCAGGGTGGGTGTCCTGGGTGTCCCCAGGCTTTGGTTCCTGGCCCTCACCAGGATCTTCTTTTCCCATGGCGATTTCCCGCTGGACGATTCCCCAGCTCTGAGCCAAACTTGCATTCAGAATTTCAATTTAGTCTGTTTGGGGTCCTCACTCTGGGGCCTGGTTAGACCAGATTTTGGCTTGGGCTTTGCTTTGGGGCCATACACCAGAGTTTGGCGGGACTGAGCCTGGAAAGGTTGTTCAGGTGGGCCTGAAAGCTTAGGTTGGGAGAGGGCCTTTCCTGGGGCTTGCTTGTTGGCCCGCTTTACAGGCTGGCTAACTGCACGGGTTTGGGCACCCTTGGTTTTTGGTTTCTCTTTGCTACTGGAGGCTTGGTTAACAAATGCACCAACACCAGTAGCATCACCAGTCACATCACCATCACCTTCTGCAGTCCTAGGCACAACCCTGCTTCCCCCACAGCTGTCTTGCTTTTTCCTGTCCCCTGCTTCTGGCTGGCTGTCGGGTTTAGGAGCTGGCGGGGCCTTGAAAAACCCCGATTTTTGCGGAGCAAACTTCTGAATGCACTGCAAGATTTCCGGGTCCTTGCCCGTGTACACCTGCTTGCACTGTTTGCCCAAGCTCTGGTAGAGCTCTTGGCTTCCAATCCATTGCCTGGCACCACACCTGCAGCAAATCCACCTTCGCCCGGCATTAACCATCTTGTGCGACGGGTGCTCTCCCATGTGTGGAGCCGAGGGCTCCATCCACTTGCACGTGTGGCCTATTTTCTTTGCAAAGATAACCTTTCCTTCAACTTGTTCAATGAAGTGCCCACAACGGGTGCAGTTGACACACAGGTTGTCCCTGCTGCGGTGACCTTCGCGCCACTCGTGCCCCAAGTCTGGTCCTTGTCCAGCTAGAAGCGCTTCCAGCTGCTGCCTTTTGTTGGGGCCTTCACTCTGGCTTGGTTGAACTGGTTTGTCACCAGTTGTCTTTTTCCTCCCTTTGGTTTGGAAGTTGGTCTTGATTTTGGGCCCTGGCTTTTTCTTGGAAGGTGGCTTTTCCTGGTTTTCATCACCAGGTGTTTCAGGGAAGACTACCTGGGGTCCTTCACCAGTACCATACTGGAAAAGTTCCTGCACTCTGTTTGCCAGGAAAGTATTGATGCGGCTCACGACCTCATCTTTGATGAGCACTTGTTGCTCCCAGTTGAGGTCTCTGCGCTGGTTTGCTGCTTCTTGCACCAGCTTGTCGACCGCCTGGTTTGCTTCCCAGCGCCACCAGTTTTCTTGTCCAAATTTGGCCTGGAAAGCCTCCTGGGAGAGGTGGGAATTTACCCATGTGAGGCTCAAGCGGTCCTTTTGATGGCGCAACTCCTGGAAAATGTCCTCAGATTTCCAGCCTGGTGACCTGCGTAGGTACTTTGGCACCCCTTGGCAGTCCAAAGTGATATCTATCAGCCCTTTTGTCTTCTGGGCGAGAAACAGAAGGGCAGAGGATTCTGCCCTAAAGACTGTTTGCTGACCCTCTACCGGGCCTGTAGCTTTACCTACAACCTCTATCCCATGGGCATGCTTCCTAAAAGCAATGGCCCCCCAGGTTAGCACCTGAAAGCGCGTATCCTGGGATGCACCAGGGCTACCGTCAGTGGCGTAAAGGATAGACGGGTCTTCAACTTGCAGCTGGGTGAAGACGCCTTCCACCCTGACCTGTTGCTCATATGTAGCTGGTCTGGGTTGCGGTGGTCCCAGGCCTCGCAACCAGAGGCTGGGGTCAGGGTATTGTTCCCGGAGCCGCGGGAAATCTTCGGGTTCTGTGGCCTGGTTTTCCCACCAGGTACACTCCCACAAGACGTGGCTCAAGGTAGCCTCCTTGTTGCATCGGGCACACACTGCCCCTTTGCCGTGCCGTATGGCTCCTTGCCACACAGCCACAAGGGCATTGCGATGGAGCTTGCTGGGGCTCTTTTTGAGCACTTTGCGCGGGGCGTGCCACCCAAGCAAACTTTTCTCTCGAAGCGTTCTGCTGTCGCGGCTCCAAGGCCAGGTGAAAAGAAGCTCCAAGCTACCTAGAAACACAGATCAACAGAACTACACTGCCTACGGAAGTCTCGCCCTGCCACCCGGAGGTTACAGAGCGAGACTGTTGCACACAGCGTCCTGGACCTTGTGTTGAAACCAGGCGACAAAGGATGCATGAGCCACGAATATCAACGGGCATGCAGGCAGGATGCATCCCAGAGCCTGGGGAGAAAGCCTAGCAGGGCGAAAAGTGCAAAGCCAGCACTCTCTTGACAGACCTGCAGCAAGCAGGTTGAGGTGTAGAGGAGAAGACCGCAGCAGCCCAGCGCCTGTACAAACCAGCTACCAGCAGCCTGTACACTCCCCGGTGGAATGAACCCGGTAAGGGCACACACCACCAAAGGGCTCATGAGCATTATAACAAGAAGACGAGTCGTTCTGGCTCGGCAGCGAGCTGAGTGCAACCAGAAGACTATGGGCCCTCGGATTCAGGACCAGCTCAAGGTGCAAGAATGACGCACAGGTTTCACGAACAAAGCAGTAAAGCAAAACTAGATTCAATGCCCAGAGTCGGGTAAAGAGGTGGCATTTCATCAACCAGCACTGGCATTGGCATTGCTGATCAAAAAACCGCCTAACCTCAGACCACACTAGGCAGCACCCAAAAACCCCAAGGCGCAGGTTTTGTGGGTGCAAACATACTGCAACACCTGACTTGGCCGTTTAGGGAAGATTGCAAGGGCCCAGTGTCACGGCGAAGCATCAACATGTGATCGCAGGACTTGGGCAATGCAGGTGCAGCCACTGGCGCACACCGGTAACCATCTAGGGTGCGGTTTTTTTTTTTGAAAAGTCAGGGCAAGCCCCATGGTAGATGTTGGCAGCGGCCCGGGTTCATCCAAACCATAAGGTAAGCCCTTGTTCCAGGCCCGAGTCGGGTGTATGGCATATTCATCAACCAGCAACGACATGCAGGCAATCATGGCAAAACCAGGTAAACCTTACTACCCGGCGGGGCCGCACCTAAACAAAGCAACTCTTACAAACCCCAAGGCACAGCTTTCGGGTGCAGCCAACAGCGCACACCGGGCAGGGTAACCTGGAGAATGATGGAAGTACTCCGGCGGTTGATTGATTTGTTGGCTCTAGCCATCTGCATCATGTAAACCGCCAAGGTGTGCGCTAATGCAGCCAATAAGGCGCAGAGCAGCAGTTGACTGTGATATAGGACGATGCGGGTGCAGCATGGCACACACGGCTCAAGGGAAACCCTAGCATAGAACACATTCCCCCAACCCGAGTCCAGGGCTACCATCACCGAAAGGACAGGCGGGTCTGCTTGGAGGTATCCTTGCTTTTGGCTTTGGGTTTTCCTTTTGCTTTGGGCTTTGGCTGGACAGGAATAGGAGGGTGAGGAGGGTTAGTACTACCAACCCCAGGCTTCACAACCACTGAAACCTCCTGCTCCTTGGCTTTAAAGGACTCCGCAATGGAACGGCTGGTGTCAGCTTCAACCTGGGCCATGGATCTCGCTCTCGTTTGAGAATTAAGCTTACGTCCTAGTCCTTTGCAAGCGGACTGCAAAAGTGACGATGACGAGGAAGCACCAAGCTTAACCATGGCTAGACACTTCGAGCACATAAAGAAAGATCCCTTGTTTACCATGTCATGACTGCCATGGATGTTCCAGCAGGAGGGCACAGAAGCCGCTTTGTCGCGACATGGATTGGACAGTTTGCGATCGAAAACTTCAGGAGGGTTACACTGTTCCACATAAAGTTGGCAAACTGTGCACTGGATCGCAAAATTGTTGCTGGATTTGGCCTCACAATCCCGCCACACATGACCCATGTCGGGATCCGGATTGGCAAGAACCTCCTTAAGGCGTTGTTTTTTGTTGGGTTTTGGTGGGGTCTTAGGCTTAACAAAAGCAGATCCAGGTCTAACCAAGTGCTGGTGATCAGGGTTACCAAACACAAGAAAGTTGGAAGGGCAACGAACGGCCTGAGACGCAGCGCGATGTGGCATGGCTCGTTGTGACTGTGACTCCCGCTGACTGGCTAATCTCGCCACACCCCGTTTTTCATCGAAAACCAAGGGGGCAGGATCTTTTTTGGAAGTCAACAAAAGCTCCACACGTTCAGCAAGAAAGGTCGAGATCTGCTGAGCAAGACGGTCCAACTCCTGCACATCATTTTTAAAGTTGATATCAACAAGGGTTGCAGCCAGCTTACCACACTTATCATCAGCTAAAGAATTGGCCTTCATGCGCCATAGCTGGTCTGCCCCAAACTCCTTTTCAAAAGCAGCAGCTGACTGGTGTGACCGAACCCAATGACAATCAAGATTATCAAGTCTCTGGGAGTTCTTAATGGCCGTTTGACAGTCACAGGTGACATCAGCAAAACCGTCGACATTCTCAGCGAGGAGCTGCAGCGCATGTGTTTCGCCTTCTGCAACCGACGAGCCGACGGGAAGAAACCCGGTGATGGAGGCAACGCAGGTGAGCTCGTCACCCTCCTTTTGAAGGGCCAGCAGGGCAAAGGCAACGATGCGCAGGCGGGTGTCAACACTATCCGGCCCGCCAGAGGCGTCTGTGCTGAACACATAAGTCGATGCACTAAGCTTGCTGGTAGTCGCCCATAGACCTTCGCGCTGCAAAGGTAGGGAAGACTCTGGACGATGCTGCTCCGTCCACTTTTTGGGCACAAGTCCCCTCTGCCACAAACTGTCTGAAGGCCACTTTTGCTTGAGCTCAGCCCAATGCTCAGGTGGATCGCGGTGGCGCCCAGACCAGTATCTGCACTCAAGGAGCACATGCGACCACGAGGCATCACAATGGCATAGCGGGCATTGCTGAGTGCCTCCATTTTGGTTATGAAGCACTGCTCCTTGCCACAAAGCATGTAGCCACTTCGTGGTGCGTTTGGCTTTGGCTTCACGTCGGATTCTGGCCCTATGGCTGGCCCAATCGACACCTTCAGCAAGGAGAGGGTCATCCACAAAGGCAGCAACACGGGCATGCCTCAGTTGTAGGAGTCTGGTTTTAACTCGCCCACACAGGAGTGCCTTAAAACCAGGCTCCTTCCAATCGCAGGTGAAATCCTCATCATCCCAAGTCCAATGCTCAAGACTTTGCCCATCGATCTCAAGTTGCATCAGATAGGCCTGTGCGGCCGCCATCGGTCCAGAGACGCATTTCCACGGATGGGGTGAAGCCTTGAGTCGGCTCCACGTGCTGCTCCAGGAAGTTTTGAGCTGTCCCCACAGGGTCCCTGGCCATCGAAGAAAAACCTTAGTAATCGTGGCAAAGTGTTGTGTCAAGATGGTGATGAGAGGGTCCTCAAACTTGCAGCGCAAATCGAAAAGCAGATCAAGGCTGCCAAGTTTGTGTCGCTGCAGCTGCTGCGCAGCACACCCTCGCAACCATTTCAATCGCTTCGGAGAAATTCCCTGAGCTTGATGGCCCCATGCAGCAGAGGCGAAAATACCTCCTTTGTACAGCCTCCACTTGTGGGACAAGGAGGGAACTTTGAGCGTTCGCTGACGTCCTGCTCTGGCCTGGCCCTTTGCTTGACGAGCCTTTGCAACTGTAATCCTGCGACGCCGTGCAGCAGAGTAATCAGTGCCTAAGTCGCGCGCTAGGGACTTAATAGGCGGGTCGTCAGGTCCTAAACGCTTTTTTAAAGATTTTTCGGATGATGAATCCGTGCAAACAAAACACGTTTTTGCGATGGACATGTGGAGTCCATCCCGCTGCAAGGCATGCTTCAACAAGTTGTAGGATTGAGCAGCACGGTGTGCCGTCTTCTCTGCTTGAGCGCCTTCAGTATCGACACTGACATCGTCCAACCAAGCCGTGATATTGTCAGCCAGCTTGCTCTTGTGCAATGAGGAAAGGCTCGGAAACAGTGCCAGTTTTGCAATTGCTGGCGCATAGGGGCATCCGGCCATGAGGCCGGATGCCCCGAAGCATCTGGGCGAGACAACACTGTCCGAAATGATGTATCTGGCTCCTCTGTAAACTTTCAGGGCGGTGTCGGCACAAAGCGGCGGAAAATTATGAAGCAGGGCCTGCTGGGCAACAAGTTCATGTGAGACGGATTCATAGAATGTTTGTATATCTATGAAGAGAACTATTCGATGAAGCTTTCTGGCCCGAGCCAGTTCTGCTTGCAGCAGACGCCTGATGCTGACATCAAGTGTGCTTTGGCCCGGCACAGCATGCTCCCAAGGGGCTTTATGAATGAATGAAGCAAGCCATCGATCAACTTCAGAGAATCTCAGTTTTGCCCACAATCGGTATGACGAACTACACAAAGCAATAGGTCTCTCGACTAGGAGACTTTTGGGTAGCATTGTTATCAAGGTTGTCAGCCAGTGCTCCGGCAAAATCCCATCACACTCAATGCGATGGAAAATTTTTAGTAAAGCTTCTAGCGCCTCATCCGGCAGAACCTTGAACTGTGCGTAACTCCAACCATCGGCTCCCCCAGCTTTGTTGCTGAGCTTGCGGATCCTTTGCTTGATTTGCTCAAGGCTCAAGGGTGGAAGCTGTGCCGCGTGTTCCCGGGCCACGTGCTGAAGCTTTGAATCGAGCTCCGGTAAAGGCGACGGTTGCGCCTTCCACAGTTTACTCCAGAACTCCAGCCTAAGGAAAGGCCGAAATTCCAACGGACTATCAAGAAAGGGCCTCTCGACCTTGGCTTCTGGATTGCTGAGTGCTCTGAAGAGGGGCCGCATGCCAGCTTTCATGGAGGACTGAAGCCAAGACTGATAGTCCGCACTTTTGTCAGAAAGATGCAACTTTCGAGCATGGCGCTGCTGGCGAGACGTGGCCGCAACCCAGGCGTCATCCGGTTCACACCCATTGAGCATGCCAAAGGCTTGGGCCTTCCATTGGTGAAGGGGCATGTTGCCAACATCAGCCCAATGAGTGTCAGCCTGAGCTAAGAAATCCTCCGGGTGTGTTAAAGGCTTGCTCTGGAGGGCCCGAAAATGTTTGGACCACGCAACGATGCGATCCCAGAAGGATTCAGCATGCCCTTTCCACAGTCGGTGTGGGGCAGACGGAGCCACCAGCGGCTTGACCTGAATCACAAAAGAACTGCCAGGAAAGCCATCTAAAATCCCACAAGACGCGGCTGCATCTCGGGACCAGCTCGCGAACACACTAGTGATCTCAGAAATTTGCTGGCTGCCCTCCCACACGACCTGACATCGGGAGGCAGACTGGCTGAAAGGTTGGTGTGCAACTTCAAGTTGTCTGAAGCGGGGCAGCTGCGGAACAGCAGTGGTGCAATCAGCTGCCAGCGAAAATTCAACAAGAGCATGTGGGCGAAAAGGTGCTGCCCAGTCAAGGCTCGGCTTAAAACAACCCGATAAGGAATGGCAAATCAAGGCATAGTCAAGGCAGGCACCATGGTCAGTCGTTGGTCCGCCTGGGGACAACAACAAGCCTCTAGCCTCGGTTGGGATGGAGGTGGCCTGCATTTCCTCAATCGGCAAATTAAAATCACCCATAACAATCCACGGCACTGCTAGACTCCGGACCGTGGCAAGCAAAGTTGCAACGATGGTGCAATTGGGCTCGGCCTGCAAAGAGCAACCAGACTGCAGGTAGAGGTTGATGACAGCCAAAGTCCACCCTTTCAAGCGAAACTGATCAACAAGAAAACCACAGCCTTCAGCCAGGAACTCAAAAGACTGGAAAACATTGTAATGAGACGCCGAGATGGTGACCAAACCGCCGCGGACTCCCTGTTGTTTTCCTCTGCTGCCGGCTCCAAAATGGCTGGAAAGGCCTCTGGCCGTAAGCCACGTTTTTGATTTAGGGACGTCCTGAAGGAGGTGGGTTTCCTGAACACAAAGGAGGGCAGGCTTGGGGAAAAGCCCCTCAAGCCACCCCTTAAACTTAGGGCCCCAGGTGGTGATATTAAGTGAACACAGCCTCAAAGGCTTGGGCTGGGCCGTAGTTTGGGATTGCGCAAGTTGTTTGGCAGCTGCGATAGGCCATGCAGGGTCAGCCTCTTCAGCAAGGCATTCACAGATGCGGTGGCCTGCCCACCATTCCAAGGAGGTCTCATCAAAATTATCCTCAATGATCTCAACTGCATCAAGAAGCTGCTTTTCAACTCTGGCAAAATCCGTCCTGGCACCTGACACAAGCAAGCTTCCTATGAGGTTCCAATCAACTTTGGGATCATGTGGTTTGTGATGCAAGGCTGGGGCAGAAGACACAAGAGGCTCACTACAGACCTGACGTGAGTCCCGCCCAGTTGGATCTGCAGAGACATCCGGATGTTGCGGGGACACCTCTGATGAAAGCAGAGCAGGAGTGCTGCCAGCAGGGCGCACATCCTGAGTCACTAGATTGGAGGTTGCAAAGGCTCCGGGCGATTCGGCTTGATTGCCACAAGAGGTACAAATCCTGACATGCAAACTGCAACGCCCCTTCTAACGCTCCCAATCCCATCTCCGAAACCCCAACAAACCACCCCTGCACCACAGAGGGCTCTGGCTGGCCTGCGCACCCACGACTGCGCTCGGCCGGTGTCCATACGCCACTGCGCACGCGGCCTGACGCCCGGAGGCACAATGCACACACCGACCCACAACTAGCATCAAACTGGAACTCCTGGAACTTTGGACAAGGCTGCTCTCGGCACAGCGTGACAGCACAGATGGGGCAACACTCTGCTTGGCTGAACATAAGCACTGGGCAGAGCTGAGGTGGCCGCACAACGGACTGATCCGACTGCAAGGTGCAAGCAACCAAAAGCTTTTCCAGAGGCTGGGATTCAAGAGCCTCGCCTCGACCTGACTCCTGAGCTGGCTCCACGCTGCATCCACCAACAAGGCAAGTACGGCTATGACCGAAAAGCGAAGAAACAACCCGAGAAACGCCGAAGTCAAGAACCCTAATCCCCGACCCCTAACCCTGCTGCGCACTGCGGCCCCTGCTGCGGGACCTGGTTTTGCCCTTCTCCCTGTCATCCTCCTTAGCGGCCTCCTGCTGGCTTGGCCCAGCTGGAGGAGGGCTTGTCGGCGCTGCCTTCTGCGCCGGTGCATCCACGCGCCTGCGCTTTACAGCTTCATCAATGGCTTCAACAAGGCGCTGCCGGTAGTCGTCAAGCTGATCAACATCCATGGCCTCAACCTGCTTGGCAAGAGCCTCTGCTGCCTCAGGCAAAGCGTCAGGGGCCGGGACCCCAGCAACCGAGGATTGCAATTCCCCTTGCAAGGTAGCCACCAGCTTTTGTCGCTCCTCCAAGGATTCATTGATGGACTTCATGTCTGACAACATGGTGGAGTACAGCTCTTTATGCTTATCAAGACGCACTTGCAAGGCAGCTTTGCGGAAAATAAGGTCTCTCAATTCTGCAGTGGCAATTTTAAATTTTTTACTTGTTTCGCTCATGACCTCCTGAGGCGTGGGTGGCCGCTCAGGAGGGTCTTCCAGCAGCTTCTGGATGTCAGCTGGCAAGGCACGGATGTGTTGCTTACACAATGAAGCAAGGTCCGGAGGCTGCACCTCGGGCTCTTGGATGCCAAGCTTACATAGAAGCTCACGCTGCTCTTCGCTCACCGAGGCAAACAGGGACCGAGCAGCCTCAGCCTGAGCAGCCTCATCCCGGACTTCCGCTGTTCCAACTGCACCCTTGCCTTTGCCTGCACCTCCTTTGGTTTGCCTGAATAGGCCTGGCGGGGGCTGAGGGATCTTAGGTCTCCACCCCGCCTCCTCAATCTGCTGGCGCGCGTGCTCAGGCAAGGATTCCCAGATGGTTGTCAATGCCCTCTGCGCTTGGTTCTGGCGCGGGGGTCTCGGCGTCTTGGACTCGGGCTGCTGTGCAGCAGCGGGAGACCTCCACACTCTCACAGACGGACCCCATTGCGGATCCTGCGTCGTTCCCTGCTTTGGTCCTTTCTGTGGCCAGCGTTTGCCACACTGCTGGCAACATGGCCTGTGAGGGCCAATCCGATCCGTCCACACCCACGATCCGCAGCCACAGACGGTGTAATGCCTGGACATCTTGACTGGCATCACTTCCCTGTGTGGGCCTGCGCGCTCTGCGATGGCCTCCTTTCAAGAAGCCTGCAAGAAAAACTCCTCAACTGTACTTTTGCAACAAGTAAACGGGCAATTTTGCAAGGCCCAAATCCAAGAAAATTCTGCACAAGAAAACAAGGATTGGTTCACAAGCTGCAAGAAGAGTTTGCAAGCAGTTTCAAGTGTTGCGGCTCTATGGCGCTACTCTAATGCACTTCAGGGCTCTCCCTGGAACTGCCGCTACCCCTGCGCGCCCGTGCGGGTCAGCCCGCCTACGAGGAAACACAGAGATTGGTTTTGAGGTCTCTTGAGGGCCCACCCTTAGATACGGCCTCAGAAACCCAGCCACGACGGCAACAGCGCGGCGCTCGCCACTTGAACCACAACAGCTTGAGCCAAAATGGCTACGGAAGCAAACTTTTCACACCCCCTCATGCCCGAGAGTCCTCTTCACTTCTCCTCAAAAGTCTTCTTCACGTTCTTCAAGAGAGCGAATCCTAAACCCGCTGGATACACACCTGACTCAGGAAGAGGAAGGTAGTAGTGGCCGTGTCCCTCAGAGCACTGAGACGAAAGTCCCCACACAAACTCTGTGCGGTTAGACACAAACCACCATCTTTTCCAAGGTCGTTGGTCACCCTTTTCAAAGCAACAACGATCCACAAGGCAACCCTGATCCAAACGAAGCTTCTTAGAAACCCTCTTAAACACAGTCTCATCCCACAGTCCTGACCTCTCAGGCCACTCGTGAGAAAGAAGAAGGTTCGGGGAGCCCACGTAAGGCTCCAACAGCTTCTCGATCCTTTTCCAGGATCTCTTGTGAACGGCCAGAGCCGCTCTCCACTTCTCCAGGGCCTTTCCTCCCTTCTTAAACCTCAGGTGCCTTAAACCACACCCAGCAGAGCACGGAGTAGACAAGTGAGCATACACCTTGACCTCACCTTCAGCTACGACTCCGAAAACCTCTCTCAGAAGACACAAGCCATTATAGCTCAGAAGATCAACTTCCTTAGTCACCCCAAAGTAGGCGATCTCGGGGACCTTCGAGCAGGCTTTGGACAACGCACTTCCTTCTTCACAACACAGTTCAACCACTACGTACTTAGCTTCACCACGAGCTAGCTTCAAAGCAGCGGCTTTCCAGGAAGGCGGAACAGACGGAGTAAAACGTTCGTTTTCATTGGGCTCTTCAAAAGACACGTGCACCTCAGTAGGCTCACTCTCCCAGGCCTTCGGTTCATCTACAAGGCCAGAGGCATCGTACAAGCTAGCCAAACTTTCGTTAGTGGGGCTTTTCGTGAGGGCGTCCGCAGGGTTTATCACTCCCGGTATGTGTTCTATAGTAAAACGACCCCTGGCCACCAGCTCCTGAAGGAATGCGGCACGCAGTTCGATGTGCCTCACTTTCCTCAGGAGGGTCTGCATCTTCGATATACAAACCGCCGATTCGGAATCAGAATATCCCTTAAGAACATAATAACCGGTTTCCCTGTCTTTCGGCATACCCTCGCGGATGGTCTCCACAAGCAAAGCAATGTACAACCCTTCACGAGCAACCTCTGTGAGTGCAGCGAGTTCTGCTTCCGCACTGGAGAGTGCGGTAGTCGTTTGTTTCCTGCTGAAGCTTTTCAGGGAACAGTTCTCCCACGTAATGATCCCGCCGCTTACCGAATTCAGACTCCAGCTAGCGTCCGTAAAACAAGATACAGAGGCAGGGTCCGCATCATCTTCCAAGATCTCCCTCTTACTCGGAAACCTCTGGACCTTGTGCGGAAGACCCTTGACCCAACGAAGGACATCCCTCATACAGGTCTCGGCAGCCTCGTCAGGAGCTGCTTGGTGGCGGCCCAGAAACCCACACACAAACTGCAGGTCTGGTCGTGACAGAGCCGCCCAGGCCAAACGGCCCAGAGTCCTTCTGTACCTCTCGTGAGCAGCTGGACTGATCAGCTCAGTCTGGCCTTTCTTCAGTAACTCAGCATAGCGGCGTTCAAGGGAAGGGAGCTTTGGTGCAGGTTTGGTGATTCCGTACTCCTCGCAACAGGAACTCAGGTACTGTTCGTCTAGCCCGAAATACACCGTACGTTCCCCTTTCTTACGGCGAAAGATCCGCCGACCGAGAAACGAGACTTCCCCGGGGCAATCTTGAATCAACTCGCCCGTAAGTTTCAGTTTATATCTTTTACGCAACTCCTCGTAGAACCGGCGCCCCTCAGCTTCATCTTCGCTATAGATCAGCAAGTCATCCACATAAAACAACACAATCGTCAAACCCTTCCTCGTAAGACGACGGAATATAGTGGGGTCCAAACTTGCTTCGAAGTTCTGAGAGCGCAAGTATTCAGCCAACTCGCAATACCAAGATAATGGAGCAGACCGCAATCCGTTCATCGCTTTACGCAATTTGACGAAAACTCGTTCCCCAGTCCCCTGGGTGCTCACATTATTCGGCAACTCTACGAATTCTGCCCTCGCTACGGGAGCATGCATGAACGCTACCGAGACATCGCAGGACAACACACTGCCACGTCGGCAGAGCATTGACAGAAGCAATCTCAGACCCTCCAATGAAGTAGTAGGAGAGTAGATTCCCTCACTCAAGGTGGTGCCTCCCATAGAGGCATAATCCCGCACGACTAGCCTAGATCTATACAATCCCTTCTTCTTGACCGTGTTGACCCACCTGCTAGTCAAGACTCGCCTGCCGTTTTCCTTAGCAAGACGGCGAGCTTCGCGCTCAGGGATCACTTCCCCAACCTTGAAGGATTCCAACTCTTCCAACTCAAGCTTCATTGATGCGTAAAGAAGATCAGGTTCTAGCTTCTCTCCCGAAGTCTCAGACACAGCGTTCTGAGGAACAGCACACCGTATCTTCGTACCCCCAAACTTCAAATCAAACGACTTTGCAACTGCAGTGGAGGTGGCTCGCAGGTCAGGCCCTCGAAACAGGGACTCAAGATAGTGATTCGTGAGCCAGTCTATTTCCATATCCCCCTCATCGTTCACAACCTCCTGGTTCTCAGGCGCTTCCGAAGGAGAATAGTCAGCAAGCTCATCTTCAATCATCTCTTCATCACCATCTTCATCCATTCCCACACCAGCCCCCTCATCAGGAGCATCATCACCAGGAGCCTCCAACGGATCAAACAGTATGGGCCTCTCGGGGTCCTCAGTGTCCTGCAGAAGAGGCTTAGCTAAAGATAGCTCTTCCAGGGTCTTGGCATCGTAGATGTCACCTCCCTGAATCATTCTGGCGACGGGGAATATATCTATTTCCCTGCTTCCGATAGGGACGGCAAAGATGCCGCCACCTTTGGCGTGCACCGGTCCCAGATAAACCGCTTTCACGGTCCGGGCGCCCCTGAACTTATCATGGTGCGCCTTGGACTTACTGACCTGGGCTTGAACCAGACACCCGAACGGTCTCGTCCGAGTCCGGTTCACAATCTCCTCATGCAGTCGATCTATGCTAGTGCTCGAATCCCCGACGCTGGTACACCAGAGGTTATAGCACCTAGCAACATAGAAAACACAGGCTTGCCAAAGCAAACCTCCCAAAGGTAACCGATACTTCCCAAGCTCAACGGCTTCCGTTTCCTGCTTCACCTTAGCAACCTCTTTCTCCAGGTCCAGCCAAACAGACCAGAAACCCTGCTTCATAGTTTCAACCTGCCGCTCAATCGATCCCTTCGACTGGGGCCTGTAGCCCGGAACCACGTCAATCAAAGTTGCGCTGGCAGGGCTGCTATCGCACTTGGTGAGTTTCTCGGCAAGGGCTCCAAGAGCCGCTTCTTGGTCCATCCGAAATGTAACCGCTTTACCGACTAATCCCATTTCGCGAATCACACGGTTGATGTTGTGGAGCAGGTCAGGGTCATCGAGGTGCATCGCAGGAAGAGAGACAGTATACTTAGAACCGAGGTGCATCATCAAGAGTACCCTCAGTTTTCCGAAATAGAAGAAATCAAGACCTATGGTCTGGTTCTCTCTCTGCAGCTTCCTCCTCAAGCGACGCGCTGGAACGCGCCCTTTCGAAGAACAACACGCTTCACAATTGGAATCAAAAGGAAAATGCCCTCGGCTCCGATGATTATACAACGAAACAGAAGAAAGAGGAACCCTCAGGTCCTCCTCGTCCTCAGGTCCAACCGGGTCGTCAGGTGGTGTTGGACCCTTTTCTTTTCGAGGTTTCTTGGAAGAGCCAGGGGCAGATCCTAACGGTTCAGGGTCCTCATCAAAGATTCCTTCAGGATCTAAAGGATTACGACTAGAAGCTTCAGGTTTTGAGGTAGTTTCGGGAGCAGGTCTAGAGGAAGGTTCGGGGTCTAAGTCAAACGGATCAGAACGTGTACCGGTCCCCGGCGACGGTAAACCTCTAAAGCGCACGGCTCGGAGCACGTGCTCAACTTGTTCCGTCTTCTTTGCCGGGGCCGGTTCATCATCTCCGGCACAAAGCATGCCAAACATGCCGCAACATGCGCACTTCAAGTTTTCACAGACATGCTCACAAACGCGCTGCCCAAAACCTTTCACCTCACGACTCAAAAGAAGTTTCCTACTCACCTCGACGCGGGCCCAACGGTCCCGCAGCTTAATCCTAAAGTAGCTTCCGCGTTTTCTAGAAAACACCCTGTAGAACTTCCGTGGCCTCTTTCGCGAAACCACTTTCCTGAAACACCGAAGTAACCCTGAAGAAACCCACAAAGCTATACCACAGAAGAGGCTGTAGACCGTCAGGAGGAGCACGATGATACCAAGATCCAGTCCTGGCGTGAAACCATTCCTGAAAGCGGCCGTGGTTTTAAAGGTGCGGGTTTCGTCGAAGGTAGTAGGGTTCGAGGTACGTTGGGTTGGTTCTCGAGCAAACGCAACATGCCACAGACCATGCCAACGCTCATGCCACACAACATGCTGCTGCAAAACGTGCTGCTGCAAAACGTGCTGCTGCAAAACGTGCTGCTGCAAAGTGTGATGCTGCAAAGCGTGCTGTTTACCCCTCGTTGCGGAACGCCGCAGAGTCACTCCAAAAGCCTCTGGCCCTCTTCGAGGGCTTGCCTCACCTGCGCAGTCACTTGACTGTGGCTTAAAGATGGCGGGCTGAGCACAAATGCCCGTTCCTGGGCAGTCTGTCCGGTGGCAGAACCACTCGCAGACGCACTCAGAGCTCTCGGAGGCGTTGGTAGCCGAGATCTTTTTGGAACCGACGGCGGGATGTTCACGCCGTGCTTTTGATAGTCCTCCCTTTGCATTCCCTCCGGAAGAGTAGGTGCTGAGACCCTCGGGAGATTGAATGCAGTAGCCACCAGTTCTCCAGGTGGCATTGAGGAAGCCGGGCTCGGCGGTGCCGGCTGTCCCGCCTCGGCGGGCTGATTGGGCTGATTTCCCTCGTCGGCCCCAACATAGCCATCCAATTGGGACAGCCTCTGGCCTGTAAGTTCTTCCAACGTGCGCCATATGGCGATGTCGGATAAATCTTCTTGGCCCTGGGCCCTGTTCAGCGCTGTGACTTCTCCTTCTCCAAGGAGCAAGGACTCCTCGTCGGAGCTCGAAGAGGTGGTGTCCACAACACCGCCCTGAGGGATCGCTGCCGATTTGGCCCTTGCCGCTCGCATGGATTCCCGGGCCTCGTGGAGGCGCTCCTCCTCTCGTTTTCGCCGGTAGTATCGGGCAACACGGAGATATATGCCCGAGTCTAGGTACGCCCAAGCCGTTTTGAGCTCGAGCGAGGTGACCGACTGGGGCACCTTTACGAGCAGACTCGAACGTCCTCCCACCAGTCCCTTGTATCCAGCAGGCGTAGCCAAATAGGTTTGCAAAACAGCTCGACGTAACATAGACACAGGGTTGGGTTCCTGGAACCTTCGTTTCCACGCTGCCCGAGCGGCCCGTGGAGCCTCCAGAAGTTCGGTAACCCTGACAGCGAACTCCACGTCCACCATATGAAGCCCGTACTCTGCCAGGCTCTTGCCCTCTAGGCAACGTCCCAACCGAACCTCCCATTCCTGCTGCCCAATGATACATTGGGCTTCCGATTCCACCATCTTCGGCCTCGAAACCCTCACTGGTTCCTCTGGATAGGCCGCTGTCACAGGAATCACTGGAGTGGCAGGTAGCCAAGCAGCTGGATGCTCTAGGTCGGGCAGGCCTATCGGACCAAGCATCGTCGCCGCCGGAGAGCAAAGTGCTCTCAAGGCGTGTCCTGGCGCACAGAACGCCAGGGATGGGGCATCGTAGGCATCGTTCATATTCGCTGGAATTCCCGCCAAGTGCGAGAGCAACGGAATAGGCTCGGTAGAGTCGACCGAGACCTTTGCAAGACCCAGCGTTTCCGCATGCTCCCATCTGCGGCCAGCCTCCAGCCTCAACGCCCTCAGGAGGAGTTGGGTTCCCACATCCATCTGAACAGCACCAAACGGAGGGCTCAGCGAGCCCGGCGAGATATTCGCCGGGATTCCAACCCGCGGTGGCGTAGGCCCCTCGACCTCTGAAGGACCCCCAGCGCGCAGGCGCTTCGAAGGATTCGGCCACTGGTGCCCCAACTCTCCTCCCCTTCGCTCTCCTCTGAGAACAAAGGGCTCTCTGCAATATCCGCCTTCGGCGGACTCCTTGCAGCATTCTCCTCCACAGGGCTTCCAGCAGCCTTTGCCGTCGAAGAGCCATCTGTAGAATCCGCCTGCAACGGGCTCTCCACTGCTTCCGTCACCACTGGCGACGGATAGACCGCCACCGGCGACAATGGTCCCCCACCCGGCGGCTCGACCCCCGGTAGTTCGAAAGAGGGGCTCTCCAAAGCCGGTGGAGTAGGCGGTTTCCCAGGAGAACCTGGGCTGCTCAAAGCAACACTCGGGGTAAACTCGTCCCCGCTGGCACCGTCCATTATGATCTCCAAAGGGAGACCTCTCTTCAACAAAGAGAAAAACGGCTGCAGATGAATCGTGCGCAGTGCTAGCGCAAACATTCGGCAACATCAGCGTTTGCAAAATCAAGCCAAGCATGCCAACATGCCACTGTTTCCTAGGTTCACGCAGCTGTTTCCTAGACTCACGCAGTTGCTTCCTAGGCTCACGCAGTTGCTTCCTAGCCTCATGCCGCTGCTTCCTAAGCTCAGGCAAATGCTTTCGCAACCCTTTTTCTACCCTCTTGTGGCTGAAGGGTCTGTCTTCTTCACTTGCCATCGAGCAAGACCCAACCAGCTGCAATGCTACCATCAGCATCGCTCTCAGAATACTGCGAATCTGGAACCTCGTCGTGGGCACGTAGCCATTGCAGCCCCGACCAGTGCTGTATACAGGCCCAGCAATAATGATGGGTGTGCGCAGGTTTGCGCCTGACGCACCCCTGCTTTCCGCACACTTCGCACCGGCACTCGCATTCTGGCTTTGATCCGCCAGATAGTTTCCCATAGCAGGAAAAAGAGGCGTATGCCGAGTCTTTCTGCAAAAGCCGTAAGGGTAAAAGCCCGCTTGAGCACAGCAGCAAAAACCCACTGCGCTTGCACAACCATGTCCCTCATGAAAACATGCCATCGCAAAACCATGGAAAAACATGCCAAAAACATGCAAAGCACCATGCCAACATGCGACTGTTTCCTAAAATCAAGAGCCATGCCAACATGCAACTGTTTCCTAAAATCAAGCGCCGTGCCCTGCCTAAAGTCATTAGACTCTTCTAGAAAATCACAAAGCTCAATCTCCCGTGGTGCAGGCGCTCTTGGAGCAACTTCCGCCCTAAGACCCCGAAGCAGAAACCCAAAAGGAGTGGCAGCCAAAGCGTGGCTGCCAGACTCGTCTTCTTCCGAAGTCTTTCTTCCTTTCTTCAGGATTCCTTCTCCAGGCTTCTGGGGTCCTGCGGTGGACTCCTTGCTCGATCCTAGCAGGTCGCGGTCCTTAAAGGCATCTATCTCCATGTCCTCGATCCCTTTCGGGGGGCGTCTGGAAGAATTCTCTTTCCCCCGGCCCTTGGACCTCCCGCTCAGAGCCCACCAGGCGCGCGAGGCGCCCATCAGCTTGATGCTCTTCTTTCCGTTTCCTTTGTACAATCGTGATCCCGATTTGGCTAGATAGGTTTTCCAGCCCCGTTCCGACCCGGTCCAAGGCGAAACAACGTTGAACCCAACATCCGCCACCAAGACCTCTTCCAACCTCAGGAAAACATCTCCAAAATGAACCTCAAGGTCGACAACCCCCGAAACGACGATCGCACCACCCGAGGCGTTGAACAGATTGGCCGTTCGGTCGTACTTCTTGACAACACGAAATCCTGAGAGATGTTTGTCTGAAACAATGTGGCAGGTGGCTCCACTATCGACTAGCCACAGGTTCCCAGGGGTAGTCTCGAGGGCCTTGCAGACATGAGCTACGTCGCCGTGCTTCAACACACGGGATCCTAAGGAGCCCATAGACTCAGAACCTCGACTCTCAGACCCAGGCGACCCTTCGGGTCCTGAACCCGGCTTCGGAACTACAAGGGCGGACGGCTCAGGTCTCTCAGGCTTGCTCAGAACACGGCGTTCCGAAGAAGAGGGCTCCGAAGAACCACGCCCAGGACAGGAAAACCTCATCGCCATCACTGTGGCGCTTCCTCCCGACTCGGCCTCGGACTCCGGCTCTGTCAAGGAGCGTCCCTTTCCAGGCTGTCCCTTCTTCTTTTTCTTCTGCTTCTTGCCTTTGTCCTTTCCTTTGTCGCCTTTTCCTCTGTCGCCCTTGCCCTTCTCGGAACCACGGGGCGTACCAGATCCCTTTGGAGTCTGGTCGCCTTTGCCTTTCGGCTTTCCTTTGTCTCCTTTCTTTTTGCCCTTCGGAGCACCACCGCGTTCGCGTTCTTCCTTTTGGCGCTGCCAACACTTGTCGGCTGTGTGTCCCTTCTTCCCGCAGTAGTCGCAAAGCTTCTCCTGCAAGGCTCGGCCCGAAGACCCAGGGGCCTCACACAGTCGCAGCTGCTCCTCGTAGTAAGTCAGCGTCCTTCGAAGAGCTTCCCAGTTCGAGCTGGACCCGTGCAGTACCACGTACTGACGCACTTCTGCACCCAAGCTCTGCAAAAGGACAGAGCAGCGGTCAGCCTCAGACAACAGAAGCTCCGGAAAGTTGCTCAGCTTCGCTTCAGACTTCGAAAACGAATCCTCAAGATGTCGAATCAAGTCGGTGGGCCTCTTCAGATGCCCAACGTGCTGGTACAACTTCAAAGCCTGTTCTCTCACGAAGACAGCTTCCATCCGCGACACGATGGAGTACTGAGAGGTAATCGTTCTAATCACCTCGTAGCCGCAGGCGCTCTGCCCCTGCCTCTTCGAGCAGGACCTCAAGAGCTCGCTTCCCCGCTCCCACTTGGCGAGGGACTGCGTCAAGTAGTAGAACAGCTTGGAGCTACGCGCTGCAGTCTCGGGATTCAAGTCAGCTTGCACAATCTCCTTCTTAACAGGGATACAAAGCTGCAGTTCCCGAACAAACGCTTCTTCCTGCAGGGCAAGCCAGGAACTCAGCGTCTCCATAAAGGAGTGCCAAGTCTCTACCTCCTTCATGCGCCCTTTCCCCATGCCTTGATGGTCTATCACCGGAAGGTTCGGCAGATACTTCTCTGCACGGCCTCCAGCACCAGAGTACCCAGAGGGAGAAGGAACTGCCGGGGAGACTGCCGAACTCGCGGCAGAACTGCTCGCGGGAGCAGTGCTCGGCTGGAAGGGGTCCCGAGTCTTAGCTGCCTCTGCTGCCTGCTTGGCCGCTTCAGCTGCCTCGTGAACTTTCTCTTCCGCTTTGTTCCTTCTCTCTTCCTCCAGATCCATTCTCCGGAGCATCGTCGCAACGAGCTGCTGGTTCATTGCCATCATCTCTCTCTGCTGACGAAGCAATTCCATCATGAATCCAGGCATCTGCTCAGGCGTAAAACCTGCAGAACCAGAGCTGCTACTCGGAGCAGCAGCCTTCGGACTCTGAACAGGTGGAGCCGACGCCTTTGGACTTTGCACAGGAGGCACAGTAGCACCAGTCGGCGAACCCGCCGCTGGCACAGAAGGCTGTGCTTGCGTAGGAGCAGGAGCCGGACCTTGGACAGGAGCAAACGGATTCGCTCCCTGCTGAGCAGCCGCTTCAGGCGCTGCCGCAGCTGGTCCTGGACCAAAAAGCTCGAACTCTTCTTCTGCAGTGGTCTCCGGCACAGGAACGTCTGCCATGGCTTTACTAGGAACGCACTCAGCGCTCCGCTACCATGTGAAAAACGCAGAGCAAGTCTCTTTTCACTCCACGCTTGAGCCAAACACCGAAGTGTTCAGCAAGGTCTCTTGCGGAGTCTCGCGCAGCAAATTCCGTCTCAACTTTGCTAAACAAAGGAGGAATGACATGCAACTGTCCTAACACTTCTCAGGACTTCTGTACTCACTCAAACAGCAGTGCACAGCCACTCTGTCCCTTGGCCTGTTCCCACCGGCACGAGCGAAGCGAGGGTCGGCGGAAAACAGCAACAGTGCAGTCAGAGCAACACGCACTTCTTCAAGGATGCCCAAAAGCATCTCTAGTGCTGTAAGCGCTCATCATGGTCTTCAAGACAAGTGCAAACATGCTAAAACATGTGTTCGCCATGCAAATGCCTGTTCAAGCTTCCAAAACAAAACAGTTCAAGGCAAAAAGGATGAAACCCTTTTCTCGTGCGCAAAACGGTACTCGGGCACACCTAAAAGGAGCAAACTTTTCGAGATCGCGGCTTTGGAGCTCGACCCATCGCTCCATAAGACTCTCATCAGCTTGGAATGGGAGGCTCTGAATCAAACCTACGGACTTGCACGCCTGGAGTTGCAGCACTCGCTGCGCAAGGCAGTGACACGGTCCGTGAATTCTACCGGTAGACTTTGACAGCATCTTGTCGCTCTGTTGCCTGTGCACCTGTTGCTTCCAGTGTTGTCTGGCTACTCCGTGCAGTTGCAGCGTTGATTTTGAGCACAGCGGCCCCCTACTGGGCAGCCCATTCGAGTACACCCGTTTCACTCTGTCCTCGAAAACGGAGTTCACAAACCCACCTCGTTTCAGTCTCCATTGTTAGTCGTCTTCCAAGGGTGTTTTTTGCCTGTTATGTAGCTTCTGACACAGTCGACACGATATTGCTGGAGCGGCTCCAACACTTTGTGTTGACGCTACTGCATAAATCCAGTCCATCCAACCTTCTCCCGCCGGCGTGCTCTCTACGATACAGATGGACTTGCCTTGTCCGATCCGGAGGATGGCGCACCGGCCAAGAAGGATCCTGGCTTGACGGCCGAGCTTCGTAGCCAAATTAGTGCCGCCCTCGGTCTCCAAGACTTCTGATATTGCGTGGAACCAGCGCGATCGGCAATGCCGGCAATGAAAGCGGCAGCGAAAGAAGAGAGAGAGTCCGTCCTACTGGAGAGAAGATCCCGCAGCGCCATTGCACAGCAGAGCCTTCGATGAGCTGTCGCCTGCCCTGGGCCTGGTTGCTACGAAGGATCTCGTGCTGTTCTGCAAAGTCATCCTCCTTCTCAGGCGTGACACAGTTGCTGGGAATGACGTGAACCCCTGGTAGCAGGCAGTCAGGCGGGGTGTCGACGGCGCCAGCAATGCAGCTACTCTTACGGCCAGTGAGGCTTTTCGGGTTCCTCACACCCATGTTGGCAGTTTCCATAGCCCTGGCTCAGTTCTGCGACCGGTGCTACGGTTACCCAAGGCCGTGTTTGATTTATCGTGGTTGAGTTTGCGTGTCAGGAGATTTGGTGGTGGTTGCTATTGGATGAACTGGATGGACTCCGATTCTCGCTCCCCAATGCCAAGGCAGGTATCAAGTCACCTGTCCGTGACGGTAGCTTCATCCAAATGTCTCTCGCACCTTGGAGAGGGCCCACCGAAACTGGCAAACGCCACCGTGGCACCGGCTTTCACACTCGGCGATCCACGAGGGAGACTCTAACATCGATCCGCAGGGTACTCCGGGTACTTCCCTTCAGTTGGTCTTAGCCAGAGTCCTGACCGACGAGCCTGATGCGGCTTCCCTCCTATAGCTCGTGCGCGTCGCACCAGTCGAGCACAATGGCTTGCGGTTTGTTGAAACCAGGGTCAAGGCGGAGGTGCCTCTCTTGTAGGCCAGCTCCAAATTGCGATTGCTGCCCGCGTGATGGAAGGCTTCCATCGTTGACTTCTCCCGGCTGGCGCGGCGATTTCGATCCTCAAATGTTTTCTTACCCAGGCGTCTGCAAAGGCATTTCGCCTCTTGCTTCCGTTAGACGATGCCTCCCTGGGTGTAAGCGCGGCCTACGCTCCGTCTCCAGTCCGCAGGGCTATTGCATGCCGCATTGTATCGTCTTCGCGCAGCTGCCACCACCTCCAGTTGGGAGCTCAGCGCTGTTGTCGTGTTCTGGTTGCGCGGCTCTCGAAAAATGGACTTCTACTTCCCAGTACGCCTGTGGCGCTATGCCCTTTTCAATGCATGGGACTGCAGGGCCCAAGTTCTAATCATCGCTTGGTGGCGCAAGAGTCCAATCAAGATGCTATGCCTGACGGTCGCCGCCCATGGGACAGGACAACTGGCGCGTGGCGTAGGAATTGGCCCGGGCATTCAGCTTCCATTCATTTCCGAGGAGCTCATGCCGCATCTTCATGAGCCAGACAAAGACACGCTTCAATATGGCTTTCACCGCCTCAAGGACTTGTATGCTGAGGGCCAGTACCAACTGCTGTACCTTCTGCGGGAATCTCATTTCCCGAGCAGCGGCAGTGACATGCAGCGCCTGCTGGACCAATGGCCCCCATCGGCTTCGGAGCGTGCCCACTAAGGACACAGGACCCAATCAGCCAGTCCCCTTGTCCATGACTATCGACATACGTCGAAGGGTCTTCTTCCCTGGCCCTCGCCACTGGCTGTCGACTCCGTGGACTTGTGGATTTTCCGTGCACGATCGTGACACAACAGGACCTCGGGGCTGACCGTTGTTCGACGGAACAAGAACGGCGGCCGGAGCTTTGACTTGGGCTCCACCGATGGTCTTGGACAGCTCTGGGCGACGGCCCATTGTTGTTGTGGATCGGTCGCTGAGGACCCGTAGCTTGTGCTGAACGGCCAACACCGGCAAAGCCTGTGCGCCGCAGCTAGCTTTCGCCCTCCTTTAATTAGCCGCAATGTTTCACCGCTGTTTTCGTTTGTTTGTTGGTTTGTCTGTTTGTAGGGACCGAGTGCTACAGCAGTAGTCGACGAGGCCCGCTCACGCCAAAAAAAGCTCTTTGGAAAGAAAAGAAACACGCACTCGGCCGGTTGCAAAATCTCATGAAACACTGCAAAATTTTAATCTCGAAAAGATTTTTGCAAAATCTTCTGAAAACCTACAAAATCCGAAAACAACAAAAGCAACGGGGAAACAGAAAAGACAGAACTGTCGCAGTCTTTGCTCTGTTTTTTGCCAGTATCGGCCCCGCTGAGGCTGGTTTTCTGGCAATTCTGCACGTTTTCGAAATGTTTTGTCACGTTTCTGAGTGTTCTGGGCTTGCGCAGCTCGGATTACAGTGCACGTGACGACGGTGACACGGCACTGGAGTTCTATGGGAGATGGTCTGTTAATTGCACACCGCCGCTCACTGACTCCTGTGCGTGGAGTGCCCGACCACCCTGTGCAGCTGCTCTTGCGTGGCGTGGATTACGTGCACAGTTGTCCCGCCGGGCAACCAGTTGCAGTGCCCTTTTTCCCTGTGATTGACACCAGCATCTCATTATTGGGTTGCTGGAATTTTCCAGTCCGCCTCGCATCGGTCTCCGGCTTGTAGCCGCCAGCGGGCCCACAGCGCCCTCCTTTCCCAGCATCACCGGTCCCTGCTTCGGGAGCACGTGCAACGATGCGCATGCGACGGTGTGCAGAGGCCAGGCGACAGCCGCTGACATGTTTGTTGCGGCTGTGCCAGGCGCATTCTCTCTTTATGTTGCCTCGGATACCGTCAACCAGGGGCCGCTCCAGCACTTTGCCACTGCCACTGCACTGTTGCGCAGCACGAACCAGCCTGAGGCCCTTCTCCCGCCGGTTCCTACCTGCCCACGGGCAAGCGCCGTGGCACTGGTTCAGACACCCGGCGAACAACGGGCGAGGGAGGTTCGAGTGTAGACCCGAATCAGGGCACCCCCTTGCTCCATTGTGGTGTGCTGCTGCCGGTGCAGTTGTTGTTCTATCTTACACGGGCCCTTGTTGATGAGCCTGAAACAGCCCCCCTGCTGCAACTCGTGCGCATCGCCCCAATTTCTCAGCATGACCTGCACTTCCTTGAGGTAAGGGTGAAGGTGGAAGTGCCTGCCGCCCTTGTGGGGCGGCCCCAAGTCGCTATCGCCGCACGGCTGATGGAGGGATTCCATCGTGGGCTACTCCCCGCTAGGCGTGGTGATTTCGACCCCCAAATGTTCTCATTCCCGGGCGTGTACAAGGGCACTTTTAGACTCATGTTCCCGCTGGACGATGTCCCCTTGGGTTTGCAAGCGCCGCCCACGCTTCCCATCCAGTCTGCTGGCCTCCTGCACGCTGCCTTGTGGCGCCTTCGGGCGGCTGCTACCACCACTGGTTGGGCGCGGTTGTGGTTTACTGGTTGAGAGGTCCACAGAAAAAGGACTTCTACTTCCCAGTGCGACTGTGGCGCCACGCTCATTTCGATGCGTGGGATACGAGGGCCAAGGTTCTCATTCACCACTTGGTGGCCCAAGAATCCAACGATAAGAACTTGCCCGACGGACGCCGCGCGTGGTTTCGGCTAGGCGATTCTAGGGGCCAGGATCATTGGAGACACGAAGCGGAGGCTTTCGTTGAACGAGGCGGACTTGGCCCAGGCATTCAAATTCCTTTCATCTCTACTGAGCTAATGCCGCATCTCCAAGAGCAGGACCATGATGACCTCCGTT